CTCCATCCCTCTCTCAGACATGGACGAGTGTGCAATATTTGGCTCTGAATTCTGCCGCAACGGACAGTGTTTGAACACAGTGCCGGGCTACAAGTGTTTCTGCCAGACAGGCTACTTCTATGATTCCAGCAAGCTTGAGTGTGTTGGTAAGATGGACTCAAAGAGCAGTGGGCACCCCACTGCATGCATAGGGACAACTGTGCTGCTGCACCCAGACTTGTCCCTGCTACCCACACTACAGGGCCATGTCTGGGTAACAGGCTTCATGGGACTGTCCTGGGGAACAAGAGGAGGTGGAAGGAGCCCCTGAGGTCCCTATTTGGGCATGGAAAGGGTCACATTGCTCATGTCTGCTAGCCTGAAACATTGCTCTGTCCTTGTGCATGGGCAGACCAGGATGAGTGTCAGAATGAAGTCTACTGCATCAACGGCGAGTGTCTGAACACAGAAGGCTCCTACCACTGCTTCTGCAGCCTCCCTCTCGTGCTGGATGCCACTGGCAACCGGTGTGTGAATTTCTCCAGCAGGGCAGGTGAGCTGATGCCCCACTGCAGCACATCTTTGCCCCACACACCTCACCCCACAGCTGCATCCTCCAAGAGAGAGCAGTGATGGGGACTTGGTTGTAAGGCTGAGGTGTGTCAGCACCGGCACAGTGTGCAGCCAGGGCCCTGGGGAGGCAGGACCGGGGCACACGGTCATTCCCCTCAAGACAAGATGTGCAGGCACTCTCCTGGATGATTTTCATGGCATCCTTTGCTTGTGTCACTCAGATGCCTTGGAGGAGTATGAAATCCACCTGGACGTCTGCTGGCAGAGCGTTGCTGACTACATTTGCCAAGACCTGCTGCATGGCGAGCAGACCACATACACCGAGTGCTGCTGCCGGCTTGGCGAAGCCTGGGGCCAGAACTGTGCACTTTGCCCACACAGGTCCTCCGGTGAGCAGGGCAGCATGGGCAAGCATCTCCCAGCAGAGATGGGAATGGGCTGGACTGTCACTGGTCATGTCATGCAGGTCCAGCTGCGTAAGGCTCTTTTCTGCATTGCTGAAGACAGCCCAAGGAGTGGGTGAAGCCCCCACACTTCTCCAGGGCTGAGCTGCACCAGTGGGTAGGATGTACCTGAAACGGGTTTGCAGTGAGTGCAAAGTGCTTGAGGGGAGGGCTGCTCTGTGTGCATATGTTAGGAGAGGTGAGGTAGTGGCAGCCAGGGATGGGAGCACACTGAGAATTGGGATTTTTGCTGCTCAAGGACCTGCTGGCCCCGGACAGGAGCTGCTCTTCTTGAAGATGGGGTCCCATCAGCAAACTACAGAGCTGCAGCTTTGGAGGGCACTGAATGCAGGCCTGGCTTGCCTCACCTAGTGTGGATGCCCATTCTCTGGCCATAACAGACCTACCTCTCTTGAGCTAAGCTGCACTGACCCTTCCTTTTCTCTCACCATTTGCAGCTGATTTTGCTTTCCTGTGTAATGGGGCCAGTGAAGACAATGAGAGAGGGGCTGAGCTCCGAGAAAGACCTAGGTATGAGTACGGACCGGGCTTAGAAGACCCCCACTACGGCCTTCCTAGCCCTGATATGGGCCCCTACTACAACTACCTGGAATCTGAGTACGGAAACCCAGATCCTGGTTTCCCTCGGAGGGAACCCAGCAGAGAGTTTCATGGCAGCCCTCTCCACCATGGCCCAGTGCGGCCCCCACCCCGCTCCCTGCCCAGCCAAACTGGTGAGTACTGGGAGAGAGAAGTGCCTTCCCACCCAGCCTCTGTCTATGGGCACTGCAGGGCAGCTCCCATCCTGGCCAGGCTGCTCCAGGCTTGGAGCAAGCTCTGCTCCTGGCTGTTCTGAGTCAGACC